AGTTGTCAATAGTGTCTAGCATAGGTATTATTAATACAAATATATTTGAATACCTATGCTAATAAACTCTATCAACAACTTTACACTGAAAGAAATTTGTTGCTAAAAGTAAATACAAATTTATACTAAAAATTTTATACTAGTGCTTTACACATTTATACTACTGTTTATTATGAATGTATGGTAAATTTTGTAATACATTTATTGTAAAGAAGATATGTTAGATCTAAATAAAAATAAACTTACCCTTACTATAAAATGTAAACTATAAGTGAATTACAGCAAAAAAATATTGCTAGAAACACCATTTATATTGCTAGGGCAGCAATAGGCTGCTAACCAAACGAATATATTTGTTTTAGCAATGTATGTGGTAGTCTATATATGAAACATAAAATATATTTGCCCTAATTATTTTTTTATTTAACTTTAGTATATATTTCTTTCAGTGTATAAAAAAAATTGTATAAAATAAATAAGACAGTTGATTAAATGAACTTGATGATTATAATCTACGATTAATTTGTAAAGCTTAAGCTTTCTAAAATACGGGAGTTTACGGGAGGTTTTCAAGGAAGGCTTGCTGTTAAACCGGGAGACTCGCGCCTAAATCGGGAAGGCTGGCAGCCCTACCCCCGCAACGGGAATATTAAGTTCATTATTCCTATAGAAATAGAAATAGAAATAGTTTATTGTCATCAAAAATAAAATTACATGACTAGTCAAATTACATGTGAATAAAAAATTTAGAGTAATACAATAAAATAAAAATAAAATATTACAATGGCAACAGAGTGTATATACAATATAAAAACAATAAATACAACACATTTAAAATATTTAAGGTAGTATAAAAAAACACAGTGTATATACAATCTAAAAACAAAAAATAGAATACATTTAAAATTTGAAATATTTAAGGTAGTATAAAAAAACACTTTGTTTACTGTTTTGCTTAAAATCGCAACAAGCACTGTTCTTATAATAGCGTCGAGATATCACACTCCAGGAACTCATCAACAGTGTAAAAGGCATCAGTAGTAAGTATGTGTCTTATGGTTCTAACAAATTTAAGTCAGGCACTCATTGGCCGATTTTATTATTCACTTTGATTTGGACCGATAGGTTAGTTGCGAACTAGCTTATTTCAAAATCATACCCAAGGTATCCTAAATAAAATCTAACATCTGTCAAAAAATTCTAACCTCACTCCCATATGCGAAATAGCTGGGAGGAAAATAGTGCTTTTTCTCCCGCGAATAGTTTGATGCCCAAAGCGAAGCGAAGGGCATTAAATATTCGAGGGAGGAAAAGCATTTTCCTCCTGAGGTATGTATATAGTTTTTTCTATTACTTTTTAACGGTTTTAAGACATTATAAGCGTTTCGGTTCCTTTTACTAACCCGGTATGGGACTATAAAATTATGACAAAATATTAAGTTGCGTCGCCGACGTTATGTTGACAACGCTTTGTTACTATGGTATTTTTTTAATACAAACATAACAGTTGTTATAAGCTGTCAGAATATTTATCATAAATTTGAAATTCTTTCTACGTTTTGAAAATGAGTACTAGCAAAGAAGACCTGCCGCAAGATCTTGCTGAAGAGGCAAGAATAGCAATTAATTTCCTTTCTTAAAAATCGAAAGAGCGATATGAAAATAAATATAGATTGTTTAAAGAATGATTGGACAAGCGCGGAGTAAATCTTTTTCCTACAAAATCAAATAGGGCTAGACAAGGTACAAAAACTCTTGCTAATGTAAAATTGTTAAAAAAAAGAGGGAGGAAATTCTTTTCCTCCCGGGGAGGAAAAGAGGCATTTCCCTCCCTCGCTCGGGGGTGGAAAATTAAGTTTTCCATTAAGGTAGTAGAAAAATACTTTTAATAGCATCATTTGGGGTACAAACTAACATAATAAGATTTATTATTAAAATGCCTATAAAAAATTGAATTATAATACTAATAGTAATTTAACCCATAAAGCTACATATTTATAGGTATTTATTACGGTTTACAAAAGAAAAGATAGCGTGCTAAATGATCATTTAAAAATCTTTTTCTGTAAACATGTACCTATCGACATTGGTAACTTTCGAATTTTCACTGTATTTCTATTCTTACTTAGGTACATGCTGCTTTAATGCATGATAATCGCAAAAAATGTCAATGTTCCAAGAGGAAAATTTTAATTGTTATACATTACTCAGCAAAAACGTTTTATGTTAATTAATTATGCGGTTATTTAAATTAATTGTTAAATAATAGTTAACATTTACTGAAATATATGAGGCGCCGTTTGTGTCATTAATAAATGCTAAAATATATATAATATTTACTGATATATATTTATTTTTATTAAATATATATATATATATATATTTTTTGCAAATTTATATTGTATATATATTTTTTTTTAAATAAATATATATTTAAAAAAATATATATATATTTTTTAGTAAAGTTACATATTTATATAAAAACTGAGCTTATGAAAACAGTCATAGTATGAGGCGCCGTTTGTGTCATTAATAAATGCTAAAATATATATAATATTTACTGATATATATTTATTTTTATTAAATATATATATATATATTTTTTGCAAATTTATATTGTATATATATTTTTTTTTAAATAAATATATATTTAAAAAAATATATATATATTTTTTAGTAAAGTTACATATTTATATAAAAACTGAGCTTATGAAAACAGTCGCTTGGTGGCGTTCACGCTGCAACAGCTGACGCGTGACAAAACATTACATTTGGCGCTTTCTTTCTTCCGACATTGTTATTGTTATTGGTCTAGGATTCTTATTAAGTTTGTATTTAAATATAAATACTAGATTACTTTAGATTAGTTATGGTTTAGGCTTGTTCATTTTTAGTGTTATTTATATCTAGATGTTGTCTTAAATTTATTGGTTAGCTATTTTTGGCTCGCAAAAAGCCTGTTGCGGGCGTATTATTTATTTTATTTAGGATAATGCCAATTGTTTAAATGTCTATTTTGTAAATTATTTATAGTTGTTTCTGGGCTAAAACTTGTATCAGTACCTAATTACTGCCTTTCAGTCCTTTTTGCAGAAATGTGTAATTGTGTTTTATTGTAAATCATTGATGTATATTTTTACAGTTACTGCAAATAAATTATTATTATTATTATGTAGACACTGGATCACATATTTAGAGATATGGGCACTACATAAAATATTTACTTCAAATCAAACACAATTACCTACCGGCAATTTCTTGTTCATAACCCTTTTTTATCTAGTTTTATAACATAACCTTGCACCACTATTTTTGGGTCAGCTGTTGCAGCGTTGCGTTTGCGAAGTGAACGCTACCAAGCGACTGTTCGCATAAGCTCAGTTTTTATATAAATATGTAAGTTCACTAAAAAATATATATTTATTTTTTAAAAATATATATATATTTATTTTTTAATATATATATATATATATATTTTTTAATATATATATATTTTTGTTTAAAAAGTAAATATATATATATATATATTTATTTTCAACAAAAAAATATATATTTGCAAAAAATATATATATATATTTAATAAAAATAAATATATATCAGTAAATATTATATATATTTTAGCATTTATTAATGACACAAACGGCGCCTCATAGAAATATGTTAATTATATATATATAAGTATATTAAACATACGTACATATGTAATAAATAAAATAAAAAAATATATTTATTAATTAAATTGAATTTTAAATATGCCTATGTCACTTGCTATAATGATAATAATTTTTAACATTGAATAAATCAGAAAAGTATTTATAATAATAAAAAGGCTATTTTTTATTGTTTAGTTACCAACTACATAATAGTAACAGTAATAGTAAAAATTACAAAGTTATTATATAAATAGTATTAATAATATTTATTAAATATATACTTAAAATTATTTAATATGAATTAGTAGTATAATAAAATAAAAATGTTGTTAAAATCAAATTGAATTTTCTTTAAAATTTTAATATTGTGGATGCAATAACGAACTAGCATGACATTTAAGTATGTATGCACCACGGGTAAAATTACATGTGTATGCACTAGAGCCAGACGCCTTCGGGTTTGTAAGACCGCTCTCAGGACATAAACATCTTCTAAATACCAATAAATAACTATAAACAATAAATAATTAATACAATTATAATTTTTTTGTGCTGTAAAAATGTTTTTGTAATTTTATAACTCCAAAAAAGAATTTTAAAAGCACATTTTAGAAAGTCAAACCCAGCTATAAGAATACCAATACATAATTTAGAATTTTAAACACATCTAATAATGTGTTTTATAGGATTAAAAACTGACAGAATGTTAAATATATTTTGGCATGGTAGATATAAAGGTTTTTCAATAAGACATAGATAAAGAAAAGTTGAATGGTTTGAGATAAAAGTGTAAACTTGATAAACAATATAAAAATATTGAAATTGATGTTCTTTTTTTCTCACATTTGAAAATTGTAAAAGTTTATTCGTGTTAGAATACACATGTTTGGACTACATACTATGCAGGTAGTAGTATTACGCTCTTACTAAACATTTCTTTATTTAGCACCAATAATCCCAAAGACACTATTTGGAATATGAAAATAGTTTATTAAATAACTAATGTCACGAGGCGATATTTTTTCACACCAGTAGCGACGAAGGAGCGAGTTTTGCGAGAAAATGTATTATGACATAAGTTTATTATACTGTTTTTTTGTATTTGTTTAAGAAAAAATCGAATTATAAATTATATTTGTGTATCGTACTGTGCTTATTATGGTTACAAATAGAAAAACATATTTTAGAACCTTAAAACAAGTTCTAAATATTTTATTTAAAAAATAATTAAAGAATGTAAAAAAAAAATTTTCCTAGGGTTCATTTTATTTAGCACTAAAGTCAGATTAAACAAAATAAGTAAAATATTCTTAATATTTATTATAAAAATGTTTATTTGTTTTTCAGGCTGTGATTCTTTTTGTGGCATCCTTCGTGGTGATAGCGAAAGGTCAATATCAATTCGGCAGCTTTGACCTGTCAGATTATCCAGGATTCGGGGGAGGTCTCGACGCATCGTATACTGCCACAAGAGATCCCAGGCAGAACACAGGACCCGTTGTGTTCCCCGCAGCTCCACCAGACAACGGTGAAACCAGTGGTGTAGTGGTCGGTGCCTCAGGGTTCGGTTTTGTTCCTCCAAATAGTCCTAGTAAGATATTAAACATTACATTACTATTCATGGGCAAATCCAAAAGATTAATTTTTTTTCAACTACATAAATCCGCGCCTGCTTCTAAAGGGTTTTTTAATAGGGAGGACGCATTTTGTTTTTGACGTTTCTCGAATAGGAGTGTAGTTGGCTTAGCAATTCTTTGACATTTTGAAACGTCAGTCTATGCCATTTAATCATGGAGACATACCCACTTCAACAACGTTTGCAAATTATCCAACTTTTTTTTATCAAAGTTTACGTTCTATCGCGACTCCGCCCTTATAAGATTGACTCAAGAACTGAAGCCAACCGACCATTTTAAGCCTCGCACATTCGCTAATTGGGCTCTGGACCAGATGCAAGCTGACGACGACTTTCACAAAAAAATCATCTTTTCAGATGAATCTCACTTTTGGCTCGATGGTTTTGTGAACAAGCAAAATTGTCGCATTTGGGATAGTGAGCACGAGGCACAACTTTATGAGAAAAAATTAACTGTTTGGTGCGGTTTTTATGCTGGCGGCGTCATCGGCCCATGAGGGCCATGATATCGGAGTATTTTTGGGCAGCGCAGCGTACGACACAATCGAATTATTGCAGACCAAGTTCGGCGAGCGAGTTAACTCACGCAACGGTCCTCGCGAATGGCCGCCTCGTTCGTGCGATTTAACTCCTTTTTTTCTTTGGGGTTAAATTAAATCGCTGGTCTATTCCAATAAGCCAGCAATATTAGAAGAGCTGCAGGCCAACATTAAACGCGAAATTTCCGGTATTTCGGCCGTTTTGTGTCCTCGAGTCATGGTAAATAGGGTCCAGCGTATTCACTCGTGCCAGCGCTTCCGCGGCGGACATTTGAACGATGTCGTATTCCATAAATAATGTCATCGATAGTACTTTGATTTGAATTAAAAATCATTTCCATAACTATCCAACAAGTCTTTTAATTGAAAAAAAAATGCGTCGCTCTTCATGAAAAACCCTTTATTTATATTAAGATTAACCAGTCATCATCAAAATTCATATATGTCAACTAAATGGATATACTTTTTATACAATTATGGTTGAATTGTTATTTGCAAAATTAGAAATAAAAAAATTAGAAAAATCATAATATTTATTAAAAATATGCCTAGGATATATATATATATCAGAATTCATTTCAGTTGCTTTCATTAGGTGGTTAAATTATTTCCAATCTCTTCGCTTTGCAACCATATAATTTTACTGAGATATTATGATGCTCTGATATTACCTTAATAAATTGATAAGAATGTAAATTTGCATTTAGTAAGTAAAATATGTTCGATAAAAACATGACTACATAATTTTTTTGTAGAAAATGTAATGCTTTTTAAGAATCATCAATTATTTATATGAAAAACGAAAACAAAACATTTTTCTGTGTTATTCTTATGGGTAATTTTAAAACTCGATGATGCACCTCTTAAGTTTAAATTAATGGTTGGGATTTGACAGATGTTTTAATTCAACATATTCCATGCAATTTTTATGTCAGAGCAAAAAAAATAATATCGCCTGTTTTTCGCATACCCTTATATATATATTTTTTTTCTTCTCGTCTCTTGTGAAAATATGTTGGTTTGTCATGTATTAAGAGCCCTGTCAAAAGATCAGCACCATTAAACAATTTTTAGGGGTCGCTCAAGATTTTTAAAAATTACCAAAATCGTCAAAAATTGGATTTTTTTTAATTTTAATTTTTTTTCTCGTTCCGATATTATTTTTTAATTTAAAAATAATAATGATTCTGAAAATTTCAAATCGATATTTTAATTTCTAAAGGTCGCTCAAGATTTTTTTAACTTTCAAAGTAGAGTATTTTGAAAGTTTTTGAGCGACCTCTGAATATAAATATCAACGAACTTTTAGCGACCTTTAGAAATCAAAATATTGATTTGAAATTTACAGAATTTTTATTATTTTCAACCTAAAAAATAATATCGAGACGAGAAAAAGAATTAAAATAAAACAAAAATTCAATTTTTGACGATTTTGAAAATTTTTAAAAATCTTGAGCGACCCCTACAAAAATTTTAATCGAGCTGATATTTTGAAAGGGCTCTTACAGCATGATAAACTAACATATTTTTACAAGAGACAAGAAAAAAAAATATATTCTTTTTTTTTTTGGGACACCCTAATATATAAGTATTAAGGAGTTATTTGACTGCATTTATACAGGATACACTTTTTGTAAATTTTACTTATTAAATTGCCCCACAGAAAAAAGTGTAGAGAAGTCAAATCTGGAGATCTGGCCGGCCAATCCAGACCTTTCTATCGTTTAATCCATTGTCTAGGGAAAAACTCTCTAACATGCATACCACATATGTGGAGGTGCTCAATCTTGTTGGATGATAATAATTGTCCAAAATGTAAAATTTACATACACTTTTAAATGTAAGTTTTTACTCAAGCCTCTTTATTTATAATCTTCTAATATATACTATTTACCACCTATTTATTACCCAAAACAGTACACAAATCTTTGTTATTATAGAAAAATGAGTAACTTAATTGCTGATAAGGTATCTGTCATTAAATGGCTTCCACTAATCCACCCTTCGCAGCCTTTCTACACAACAAATGATTTCGGATACATTGTGTATTGTTCAAAGGCGGTCATTTGACATAAGATAACTAAGATGGACGTGGTTTGTTGCACAAAGCCCGATTTAATTCCTTTAAGTTGCCAGAACTGATTAACTGCGGTTTGGAACAAAGGAATGCCGGTGTACAAGTTACGGAACTTCAAACAAAATTATTGTCAGAAGTCGCAAATTGACAAGGCATTGCGTTTACGCATTTAGGTTAACTATGAGCCAATTAAATTCGATTGGGTATTATTTTATTAAATTGTGTATTGCTGGATCAAAGCGAATTAGTAGTTTGGGGTGTTTCCATTGTAACCATATGTGTTTATTTGAAGATGCACACATACTTTAGAATGCTAAAGATAGTAAATACAGAGTGTTTCCGGTGAAATGATAAATATTTTGTCATGCTTGTAACTAGCAGCTATTTTATTATTGTGTTTTTATTTCTTTGATATCAACTACGGAATAGTCTATAGACTACTACTATAGTACACGGATAAAATAAAACAGTAACCCTTGATTCGCAGAACAGTGGGTAATATAGTTATTTTCAATTAAAAATAATAATTAACGTGCAGAATGTTGATCGTTACAGTTCCTGACACTACTTATTGATGACACAAAATTAACTATTGCTGTTGTCAAAGTAACCCGTGATGTTTTATTAGAAATGGTATGATTTTAAATGTTATATTAACATTGTAGTTGATTAGTGTTCTGCGCAATAATGCTTACTGTTTTATTTTTTTCGTGTATAAACCTGAGCGGGCATAAAGAGCACTGTATGGTCTGCGCGGCCATTAAGACACAATTAACTTATGCGTTTATGTATTAAAATAATAAAATTAAATTGAATTTTCGTATTTTTTTAATATTTATATTGTGGATGCAATAAATGACATTAAAGTTTATATACACCGCAGGTATTAATGGATGTGTTTGCCTTTGGGCCAGAGGACCGTGGGTTTGTAAGATCGTCACCCTCACTGCATAAACATCTTCTAAATACCCTTGACACCTAAATAACTATTAGAAGTAATATACTCGTAGATTAATCCAAAGAAAAAATTCCATAAAAAATTTGGCAAATTTTTATTAGAAATTAATCACAAAGCCATAACTTAATGTATGTTTTTTATGATATTAAACATTTGATTGTTTGAGCAAATGTCCGGTAGTTTTTTGTTTTCCTTAATTTTACCAATGGAGAACCTTGCTTCAAAAATGTATGTATCTGTCATTTTTGGCCATTTTCATTTATACAAAACTAATATTTTTGTACCGTCTGTTTTTGTATTAATAATTCTGTCGTAATGCCCATAAAGTTACACCTCCTGGAAAACCTTTGAATAATTACAGATCCATATTCTTTTAGGAGCTGTTAAATGTATTTTAGCAATTAATACTTATTTATGTACTATGCTCCACATATCAAAGTCGCACCACGTGACTTTGATATAAATAGAATGTAGTTTTTTTGTCGAGGCGACAGTCGAGAAGCACTAAAGAAGTTTTGCCTATCAGGTGTATGCAACCTTTTTTTTAACTTTATTAAAATATTAAGATTAATGATAAATCTTTGTTCAATGACAACCTAGTGCACCAATGTTACATTTGCACAGGTAGTCAAGCTAAAAATACATTCGGTGAACAAAACCAATGTGTTGACTTTTTTAACGATTTTAGAAAAAAGTATGTTTTAAACTTAAACCTTACATTTATAAAAATATTAACTAAAAGTGAATAATTAATAATAATGAACAGAACCGGCTTTGTTATAAGATAACCAATGTTGTCAGATGTTACAAAATTTTATTTCTTCTAGCAAAATGCTGCATATGATATAATAGTTATTTGTTTTACAAGTGGTGAAAAGCGACTTTTTCATGCGAGTGTTTAAGTTGCTCACGAGGCCGTCAGGCCGAGTATCCATTAACACGAGCTTGAAGAAAGCTTTTCTCACAAGTGAAACACAATGTTTTTTCTACGACCTTTTTATTTATTATTATATTCAAATACAAAACAAAATAACCTAAAAACGTGTTTGACAGCTGTTAAAATTACTTTCATCTTATTCTTTTAATTTTTAAGGTTACTTAAAATCAATAAACTTACTTTCTCAATTTAAATAAAGGCACTAAAAATTAGAATTTATTATACAAACACAATAAATTGTGTTCTAAATGATATTTAGACATACATATACAAACACAATACAAATTTTGAAACGAATGTCAAACGATTCTGTCAATTTCTTTTCACAGAGACCTATCACTTTTCACACAGAAATGTCACTTTACATTCGTGTTTTGCCTTGCCAATGAGAAGATTCATTTTCTAAGCAACGATGCATATGAATATGTAACACATATTATGTTAATCTAATCTAAATTTAATAAAAACTACCTATTTTATATTTAATTGATTAAACAATACAAACAATTTATTGCATTGCCATTGAATTAAAGACCTTTATAGTTTTTTAATCGCCTAATATAATTTGTAATGGCTTTCTGTGAGTTAATGATTTATACAACAATATTATGTTTCCAAACTAAAAATTAGATTGCATTGTTTTTTGGCTGTATTTCCTCATACTTCATAACCACATACAGGATCATTATATAAACAATTTCCATGCTTACATTTTCGCCAGTACCTAATGCAACGACATAATTCATTCTTACTAAACTATCAAATCAAATATAATTTACTAGAATGAAAGTTATTATTTCAGGATCAGGACGTCAAAGAAGTTTTTAGGTTCAATACTTTAGTTAAAGGTAATGTATAAACAGCTTTAAGTACATATATATTTTAAGACTAAAGTTTATTAAATCCAAAAGGTATGTGTTTTAAGTCACGTAGCCTTATAAACTGATTATGATCAAAATATTTAACAGTATATTTTCTGCAATTGCATAACATTTATTATCTCATTTGCAAATTTATTTTACAAGGTTAAATTAATGTCACTTGTTTTTAGTCGATTTTTCGATATCGTTATAAATATGAAATATTTTGCAATAAAAGTGTGGAAGTGGAGTATCCAAAGAACTTATACATAATCCCAAATGATTTGCTTGTACAAAAGTTATTTTAGAAGTCATTTTAAGAAAAAATAATTTATATTAAATGTAACTGTTTTTTATAGACTATTCCACTTTATGAACCAATCAGATTTCATAAAACGAGTGTTTTTTGCAGCGATTAAACTACTATTTAGGTAAAAAAAAAACACTAGTTTATACGAGTTGTCAATTGTCAATGTTGACGTTTTTAATTTTAAAATAAAATTGTCAAAAAATTTGCGTTTTACGACTAGTGGTATTATATACGACTATTCCACTCATTACTTTATGGACCAATCAGATTTCAGAAAACGAGTGTTTTTTTCAGTTTTGAATCGACTATTTCCCTCGTCTTAATTTCCACCAATCACAAATGGTTTCTAGGTGGAAAAACTGTATGACAGCACCTGTCAGCAGTTTTTTCGAGTTTACCCGCGGCAAAACTTGACAGCTGTTATCACCAAAAATTGCAATTTATATTTTAATTGTACCTACCATAAATAATTAAGTTTGTAGTATTTTGTGATTAAATAAATTACCTATTTTTCAGTTTTCAAATTAATACCTATTTATTATGTATGCATGTATAATAGGTACATACATGTATGCAGAATAACTCATAAAATAGTCTTGTCAAATACCATTCGGGCATCTAATTTTTCCTGTGAAAAAAAGAAAAAACACAATGCTAAGTGATATTACTTACGAAACAACCAATATTAAAATGTTTTGACTTGTCCTATATGTAAATATGCCCTTTGGATCAATAAACTATCTATCTATTTATCAATTGATTGCTATGCAAAAAATAATTGTCAATGTTGACGTTTCTAATTTTAAAATAAAAATGTAAAAAAATATGCGTTTGGGTTAAAAAAATCATACATAAATTGAATCGGCAGTGAATTCTAATTAAAAAAAAATATTCGTGAAATAGGCTTGCCGAATACCACTCGTGATACAATTTTTCCTGAAAATTTTTTTTATTTTTATATACTCTAGATTTTTCTTTGGGAATTTAGCTCGTGGCATTAATTTAAAAAATTAATGTCACTTGAGAAATTTCCAAGAAAAAAAACATTCGTATAAATATCAAACACTAGTGGTATTATATCCGATAAAATTATTTTGGTATACAGCCTCAGGTCCCTTTTTTATGGCATAGGAATAAATAATATAATTAACTTTTTTCAAAATTATTTTCTTCTGTTTAAATAAATTTATACTTATTTTTTTTAGTTATTTTGCCAGCACATATAATACAATAAAACTTGCGGCAAAAGCTTATTAATTTCCTCGCACACATATTTTTCTCTATTGTACACAGTCCCAATTTTATTTGAGTAAATTTTAAGTAAGTGAGTTAAATAGATATATCTATTAGGGTGTTCCAAAAAAGTCGATAATTTTTTTTTGATTGCACGTGAAATTCTTGTTATATATGCTATAAAAAAATCTGTAAAAATTTGAGCCCTTAATATCAACTTGAAGAACTCCATCATCGAATTTTAAGATTTTCCATTGATTTAACATGGAAAAATTATTTTTTAACCTTCATTTATCCTGCAAACTATGTAGAACATTATTTTTCGGAAAAACCATCACTGATCCTTCTTCAGCATTAAATTCTGTAAAAAAAAGTTCTTAGGGTCCAGTCTCTAACGTCAACCCTCTCGTTTTTATTTGCGTTGAAAAATATAGATTTTTTGAAATTTCGATTTTTTCCATTTAATGTGTAAAATTTTGATCTCAGACCATAAAGTTTGAGAAAATTTTAGTAGATCGTTCAATGTTTCACAAATCTGTGCCAAGAAAATTTTGTGTATCACTTTTGGCTCCAAAATTGTGAGTCTTGTATTATCTTTTTAAATGATTATTCGCTATCATAATAAATTTTAGAAAAAATTTGAAAATCTATCAACAAAATATCAAAATTTCAAATTTTTACAGAATTTTTTTTATAGCATATATAACAAGAATTTCACGTGCAATCGAAAAAAAAAAATTATCTACACCCTAATATTAGATATATATCTATATATACAGAGCATAATACTCTAAAAAAACTGCAAAAGCATTTTTAACTATTTTTATAGCTATAGCTAAAATAGAAAAAAAAATATTTAAATTATTACTGTGTTTAAACTTTACAAATGTTTTGTTGCCCTATTTAATTTCTTATTTAGTTATATCATCTACTTAATCTTACTTTTTTATTATAATTGGTGTTATTTGATAATTGAAATCCAAAGTGTAAATATAAAAAACTATTGTGCTACTGCGTAAAAATACTATTAAGTTAAAATATTATATTTCAATTAAAAAAAAGTTCCGGGGACCTGTTTTGGCCGATTATCAAGTATAAAATATGAGAACAATAAAATTAAATGTTTAAAAACGTTGCAAATTAAAAACTTATTAAAATTTCACACTATTTTACAGACCATGTAATACTTTAATAAGTATTTTAATCGAACAATATTATGCCTGAATACAAATTTTGCTTGAACAAAAAACTGTATGAGGTTTTAATCTAGGAAAAATATAACTTTTTATGTTAAATAGGTACAAAGGTAATACCGAAATGGATTAGATAGCTTATCGCAAACTAAAAAATCAGTGAAAGTAAATTCTGTTCATAAAAAATCGCACAATATAAACCATATAAATATAATAGAGTTATTATCATCCTAATTATTTAAGTAATAACAGAAAAGCGTAAAAATTATAATCACTTTCTTTTTTTTACATTACATCTTATATATAAAAATGCCCCAGAAACTTAATTAATTAATGCGTTTGTAACATACTTAGCTAACTTGTTAACAAATTCATGGTTAGAGATATTTCCTAAATATTTAGATTTCCGATTTTTTTAAATTTAACAATGATAGATTTCGTTAGATAATACATTTATTTATGAGATTACAAAAAATAGAAAGTAATTATTAAATTAATAATTTTTTATTTCTTGTGTACTTCTATTATAAGGGTACGTCCCCCCTAAACGTGTGACGTACCACTAATTAAATAATTTATATGCATTGAAATTTTACGTAATGTTATGCTTTATAAAAATTATTTTAAAAAATAGTATACTTTTATACTACCTATTAATAAAATAAGATAAATCTCCTTACGTAATAATACCCAGTAGTATTTTGCATTAATAAGTAGGTACTGTTACTAATAAATTAAGCTTCCTAGTTAAAGTTTAGACGGTTGCAGGATGTTGAATCGGTATAGTTTAATTAACCTTATGTGACGAAAGGCCAGTACTGAAAGCAAGGTTATGGTCGTCATAAAGCAAATAACTAAATAATACTATACAAACGGATCTAAAACCGACACACATTCCTTAATTTAATAAATTTAAAAAATCTTAACCGGGATTAACTTTTTATCCCGTAACTACAACGCTCATTTTAACTAGAACAACTACTTTTGTGGGGTTATATATATATAAAAATAATTTATAAAATAATTTAGACCAATAGGGTACAGTGTTTATTAAATAAAATTATGCCTTAAAGATAAAATGTTCAATGCAGTGCAGCTAAAAAGTCTTTTTGTGCGTTGCTTAATTGTACGGCATGCAAACTTTGAGCTCAGCACATTAAGATTCACTTTTCAGCCTATGACTTAAATAACTATTGTATTGCTAAAATCATGAAATAGGTTTGCATGATAATAATATAATATTTTACTTCAATTTCTTTTGTCAGAGATTTATTTTAAAATTTATAAATATTAACAGTTTTAAACCCAGACAAATTCGCCATTTTTATAACTATTAAATACATTTTTACTGGCAATTAAAAAAAAATAGAATGCTATTAAAAATATCTTTACGTTTATGTCAAAATAAATTTATTATTTATATTAACTCTCAAACTTTCTTAAAACCAGAAAGTAGAATTTTAATTTTTCATAATAACCATTGATTTCTAAAGACTAGTTTTGTCAATTTTGGTATTTTAACACTTTAATTAAATTTAGAGATTTAGCCCATCCCTATTTACATGATGTTACATATTGCTTAAGTAGTATAAATTAAATAAATATTTTCTTAATCACAACATGACAGATGGTTAATATATGAACTACTTATATTTCAATGGCAGTTTTCCAAAGTAAAACTTGGCTAATTAAGTTTATGTGGTTATATATAACATAAAGAAGAATATTCTTTTAAAGTGTATAGTTTTTTAATTAACAAAAATTAAAAGAATTAGGGGTTTTATTGTTTTTAAGTTAAAAAACTTTACTTATTTTTCTGTTTCAGGATTCAGGGTGCAATCATATCATTCATTTTTTTAAACTTGGACGAGGATTAGTATTATATAAATAATGTGGCAAAAGTATTTAAAAAAGTAATTTTGTATAAAAAATGTAAATAACTATTCACCTCGTACAGCCAAATGTTCGGTCACGTGGTTTTTAATTAAGTTAGATTTAAGTATTTAAAGTATTTTATAAATTTTCTGCCGAAAATTGAAATGTTATTTATTTAATAAATACTTGTTTTAAATATTCTGTGTTTTATTTATTACAATTTTTCTAGACCCATACATACCCCAAAATTGATATGTAAAAGTTAACAAAATAATTTTAAAAGAAAAATAAAAGATATACATATTAGAAATTTGATATAAAAAACGCAAAAAACTATTTTACTGTAATAATAAAATTCTTTACAACAAATAAAGGGTTTTTCAAAAAGGATGTAAAACCACAATGTTAAGACCTTTGGAAAAATTTTGGACAGGTCCCTTTGTTAATTTTATAATTAATTATACTAACTTTTTAATGCTCCAGAGTAAATGATAGAACATGTTTAATAAAAATATTTTTTTTAAATGGAAATTGCTTCTTCATCTGGTCCAAATTTCAAACCAAAGAATGTTTAAAGTTCTTTAGTTTCTTAATTTATTAGTTACACACTCCAAAATCTTAAAACAAAAGCATATATGCTATAGCACTAGTATACAAGGTTTTGGACTGGATCTGAAATTACTACTTTTCTCATTTAAAATACTTTTTGAAATTAATACTTGGATTTATTATTATTCAAATATTTTAATAATATAGGATAAAAAGGAATGAATAGTACAATTTTCTTCCTACAGGGGGTTGGTTACACAGAGAAAAAAAAAACATTGCACATATTTTATGTGCAGAATATTATTCCTGGCACCACTTATTAATGTGACAAAAGTAACTATTGCTGTTGACAAAGTAATCCTTGGAGTTTTATTAAAAATTCCATGATTTCAGATAGAATAGATTGTACATTGACATTGTATATTGACTAGATGTTCTGCACATCAATGGTTACTGTTTTCTTTTATCCGTGTATACAAAGAATATATGCCGATTATAATGTTATTTAATATTGTCCCGCCCAATTTTGTCTTTAGTTTTATAGTTTTATTTAACATAAATTCATGAAACCCCAAGCCTAAATTATTTAAGAATTGTATTTAAAAGAATTAAATTCTTTATGCTACTAGTTTATTAAAAAATAAAATACAAAATCGGGCGGGGCAATTTTAAATAACGTTATAGTCGGCTTATCCCAATTTAAAACCCGATTATAATCAAATCGGCCAATCACTGATGCATAACAAAGGAAATAATAATAATAAGTTCGTTTTTGCCGTTTTTATAATGTTTATCATTATATTATACGGAAAAAACACAATATGATGCAATTGTAATTAAAAAAAAATCGCGATTAGAATTTTTTTAAGCTCCGCTGATAGTTTGAGTTAAAATAATACATGGTTAAGATTCATATTGCGCAGTGGCGAAGGCGAAGAAACACAACCATATGTTTTCTTTTAACGTGCTGAATCCAGATTTTATCTCAGATTTGCTCCATCAGGTTTTCAAAAAATAACATCCAAAAAGTTTAAGAAAACCTTTTTTCTTATTATGTTAAAGAATTTTTACATTTCCTGTAAGTTTTCAATTGAGAAATTGGCTCATTGGAGAAAATTAATCCCTTTTCCATAATATATTATAGAATTTATAGAATGTATAGAATGTATCATTACAATGACAATTATACGGTGGTTCATTATTTTCTTAAAAATTTATTAACACTTACATTTGTCATGTGGTAATGTAACACAACATTTTAATAAGCAATTTTTTTGCTCATGAGCAAAGACCGGATTTTAGGCCCTTAATGCCCGGATGAATAAAGAAAATGAAAAATATTGGAATAAACAGGCGACGCTGAACAAAAAATATAAACAAATGCAAACAAAAGCACGATACGTTGATTCCAACGGTTGTCAAACATATACTTACAATGTAAGTATATACGAGCCCTAACCACATAATGTTCGGACACTTCATAATTTATACAGAAATTTTTTTCGTGAATACTATCTCAAAATTATTAGAAGTTATGAAAAATTCAGCTTATTTTGGCATATACCCCTCGAAGCGATTTTTATTTTTAAAAAGTTTACCTTTTATTTTTAGCTTTTAAAAAAAGGCTAACTTTTTAACTTTTTTTTGTATGAGTAAAAAAAGTTATAAATGGACCCATTAAAAAGAGCATAAAATATTATACAAACCCTGAAAATTTGGTAAAAAATAAATAAGTTATAAAAAAGTATAAGTAATTTAAAAATGCTATTTTTAAAGAGTTTTTGCAATTTTCTTAGGAAACGGGAGATTTTGCAGATATATATATCGCTATAACTTTCTTATTATTTATACAATTTTTACCAAATTTTCAGGGTTTGTATAATATTTTATGTTCTTTTTAATGGGCCCATTTATAACTTTTTTTACTCATGCAAAAAAAAGTTAAAAAGTTAGCCTTTTTTTAAAAGCTAAAAATAAAAGGTAAACTTTTTAAAAATAAAAATCGCTTCGAGGGGTATATGCCAAAATAAGCTGAATTTTTCATAACTTCTAATAATTTTGAGATAGTATTCACGAAAAAAATTTCTGTATAAATTATGAAGTGTCCGAACATTATGTGGTTAGGGCTCGTATAAGTTTTACATATACTTACTATTTACCACCTGTAAATTGTGGAGAGTTATTTAATTATGCCATAGATGGCGACAAAACTGTTAAAAAATGTGAAATTACCATATATGTAATACATTTATGAAAATTACAGTAAAACCTATGAAAACAAAGTAAATAATAATTTTTAACCATTATTTTACCAAACTTAATATTATACATAATTATTTATAATAAATATTTAGATAGCAAAAACACAATTACTTTTTTATTAGGTTTTTACCAGTTTTGTAATTTGTGGTCCTCTTACTCGCCAAGGGCGTCTAGGCGAAATAAGAGCATGAAAGCAGGGTCTAATTGAAAATAATTTACTTTTCCGCAATGAAAAATATATTTTTTTCTGAAAAATTAAAAGAGCCTATTTTATGCTCATAAAAATGTCCTTTTAGGACTTTTAGGCTTTCTATAATTAAAATAATATCCCTATTTTTTAAGGAAATTTTGGAGGAATTTTTTATAGTTTTTGAGGTAAAAACATTAACATACTACATAATAAATATGTATATACATATTTTTTTACAGAAAGTGAAAGATATTAATATTGACCAAATATTACCATCACCTATGATCAGTGGCGTGCAGGACGGGCCCCGCAGGGCCCGCGGTGCGGGGGGGCCCCCGACCTTAGGGGGGCCCCGTAGAAAACCACATTGGGTGGTATAAGTGACAAAGGGGCCCCAGCTCAAAAATTTGCGGGGGGGCCCCCGATCACCTTTGCACGCTACTGCCTATGATTATTGGCTGTGGTAAGTTTCTTAATTTGACTTTTGTTATTAAAAAATATTATTTTCATTTAAACTTACCTTAACTTTTAAAAAATATTGTAACGTTTTTACTAAGGGTTCATTGGTGTGAATAAAACACGCACTAAACTTAAAACTACTAATTTAATAAACGAATTAAAACTAACACTAAAAAATAAATTATAATTATTAACTAAACACTAAACTTAAAACTACTAATTTAATAAACGAATTAAAACTAACAATAAACACTAAAAAATAAATTATTAACTAAACACTAATACTTTGGAATTTATATAACACTCTTCTAGTATTTCCTCGTCCGGTACCCGTACGCGATACTCCCGACGTTTCGAATGTTCCAGAATATTCTTGCCAATATATACCTAGTTATTATATTTTTTATTGTTTTAAAAGCGTTACCTATAGATAAAAACATTACCAACTAAATTATTATAAATTTTTCCTGCATGCAGGTAGTTTTAATTATTTTAATTTTTTCTTTCAAGGCGACGAAGATAATCGACTCTTTTACGTTTATTTTGAAAAAGCCAATGTCTACTTGGATGGATTCAAGACATTTTTGGAGGCGTTTAAATATGTGATGGCGCTATTTTTTATTTTAAACCTAAAGTATCCAAAAAACTTAAGCGCAACATTGGAATTTCTGCCAAGATTTGAAAATTCACCCAGACACTGGCTCAAAAGCGGGTAACAAGAAAACAACCGCCACAAAACAAAAAGTAATTAATTTAATGCTTAAATTAAACAAAAGCAAATAAAGTCAATATATTGGCTATATAAGTAATAGTTAAAGATAACTATATAATTAATAGTTAAAAATTATTCTGTTTGCCATGTATATTTTAAAGAATTATTTTTTTGTTATTTCTTTTATTAGGTATACCTTAGGTATAATACCTACATAATAATATTATGTACCTATATTATAGGTATACTATTTATTTTATGTTTCTGGTAGGTATAATATATTATAAATTTAATGTGCAATCCACTTTTTTTTAATTAATCCAAACCAATCTGTATAAGTTTTGTCAAGGCATTAAAAATTTAATATGGTAAGTAAAAACTTTAATACAAATTTTCATTATCAGGTCTCAATTTTAAATTGGCTATTTTATTTTAGTAAACTTCGTTTTCACTCATAAATATGCAAGGTGCACATGTTTCATAATTAAAATATTTGAAAAATGCATTAAAATTAATGCATTTTAATATTATTTTTTTCTATAAGCATAACTTCGTAAAAAAAGACATCAAAAAATTTACATGTTAGGTTTTTCTAATATAAAATTACCAGAAAAAGTTTATATAATATTTATTTTTTTAACTTCTTTTTTTGCATGTTTTAGTTTTTTTTATAAAAGAGCAAGTTTAAATAGGTACTAATAGGTTTTTAATAATTCGTAAATCAGTCTGTGTTCAAAAAAAGTAAAAAGATAAAATGAATAGGTTTTTTGAAACAGATAGTTAAGAATAAAATAAAATATAGAACTGCATGCAGTTCTATGTTTTATTTTGTTTAGAACTATCTATGAGGGTGTCCCTTTTTCATACAAAATTTTAATTATTGAATATTTAATATTTTAAAATGATTATAATTGGGTCTAATTATAACACACACAAAATTTGAGCCTCATAAATTAATATTATAATAT